TCAGCGATAGTCTGCTTACAAAAATGCATGCTGATTAAGATTCGGATAAGAGTACACGTTTAAATTTCTCCACACATAAGTTGTCTTTTACTGCAGAAGTTACTTATGTCTTGAACAGCAGTTGGGAATGGCATCTGTTCCAAATGTTCTATGAGAAAATACAGTTAAAAGGGCTTTTTGCTTGCAGGAAGAATCCTCGGGCTTGGGGGCTATTTCCTTTATATAAATTAGAATTAAAATGAAAATAGTGTACTCATCAAAAAATTAATTAATCGACGTAAAAAAATTTAATTGGATTCAGTTTGTTATCACTCTAAACAAAGATGTCTTCGATTTTACAATTCATCGTTAAGTTTTCTGTGGTTAACTGAACCTGGAGATCAAACAGCCCTGCCAGTTGTTTTAGCAAATCAAAGAAACGCAAACAACATTCCGTTTCAGAGGGGATTGGAGGATTTATATGCAACATTTCACATAAACAGATAAAAGTTCCATCGGGATCGAAAATTGCAGTTAGGAGAAGAACTATGGGAGGAGCATTTCGCGGCACTCTTACCACAAGTCTACCCCAATTAACAACTTCTGCCGCATAAAAGTTTGCACTTGTTGCAATAATCGCACTTGGTTGTCCGCGTGCGGCCATAATTAATGCGGATCTAATGGACGCATGGGGATAAGTACTTGGGAAATGGGCCGATCAATATTACAAATGGCAGCGGTGTTCCGTTTTGCGCTCTACGTGCATAAACACTTACTCCTGGGAAAAAGGAGATCGCCAAACTTGCTGAAAGGCCTTTGGCGGCAAAAAATGGATTAAAAACCTTCAACCGGAGGGTATGAGGCAAGATCTAGTAGCTGGTTGACCTCCCCTACATTGCTGTGGATATAAAACTGAACTCTCCGTTCGATATTTCACACAAACTTTAGCTAATAAAAACAGTTTAATAACATAACTTACAGGATCTGGTGCTATCATGTGAATAGTTTGCAATCATTGACGTACAAGAGGCAGACGTTATTTTAACTAACAAGTGCCATGGCTTCCTTTCTTTTTTGATCATTTAAGGAGGACCTCAGAGCCATTATAAAAGTCGTAACCTTGTAGCAGGGGCAATATTATTTGACTGTGCAAATCTTTCAAGTTGTTGCATGTAAAAATCAAAAGCGCATTCAGGAATATGAATGCCATTGGTTCGTACCCGTTTTAAAAACCCAATTAATCGTTCCACAAAATGTTTAAAGAAAACTTCTTTTTCTATCATTTATACATACAAACACGTTTAGAAAATGCACTTTCTTAGACAGCAGAGTATCTTAATTTCAGAACCCTTGTTTATTTTGAAAATTTAGAAAAAAAGATGAAAAATTTGAGTTTGAGCCTTAATTATTCGTATCGCCTACTGCTCCAGCAAAAAATAATTCTAGTGTACTTACTATATTATATCAACTTGGCAAAATTTCAAGATGTAGTTTATAATAGAAATGATAACTTGAATGAAGCTTTTATACTGTTTACTGGACTGCAAAATGTACTACTACTTCATACAATGCCGGATGCTCAGTAGTAGGTTCACGTGCTTCCCAAAATCAAGGTATGTCCCATTTCCTGAATACTGCCTGTCTCAGTAATAAGTTTTGTGCTCAATTTTAATGACTGCATATGTTGAGAGTTATTTTACAGAGGCAGGCTTATTTTTTAGGAAAGTAGACTGTATTGAATGTTCCTGTTGAAAAAATTAGTACCCTTTTGTTTTTAAAGATATGACCTTATCAAGGATTTTTAGCAGAATCTGAGTATGCGGATTCGCTGAGCCTCGTTTTAAAAGTTATCGCTTATTTCAGCGTCTTCACACGTTTCTAGCTTTTAAGTTTTATCAGATAGCCCTGTTTATAAAACCGTATTCTGACATGACAAAATGCTCTCACCTTCCAAAAAGGGCAAAGGTATAGACTCTCTAATTACTTACTTTTAATCTAAAGTGATACATTATTTGCATTATTATCACATTTGGAAAATCAAGGCTTGCTGCACGTCGAGACAACTTTCTTTGTGTATATAATGTGCATTATAATTTGCTGGAAAACAACTTTTTGACCTTACAAAAACACAAAAAACACACAAATTTTATTACGAAGGAGACTTCTATATTATCTTACACGTAGTTTTGGTAAATGAATTTCCTATTCAGTAGCTTTCGTACGCCTGTGAGCAACGGATCTGTTCTCATTTCAGAAAAGGAGACGTCTCGGGAACAGCAGAAAACCGGAAGGAAGTAGAGTTGCATATTCATCAAGAGGAAATCATTATGTATCAAAAGTACAAATGGATACCTGAGTTCGTGCTGCGTTCTGCGATTTTTATTTTTTATTTTAATAAGATCATAAAAATGGTGGAATAAATTGCCCTTTAACAACTTTATTTACTTTTTTTCCAGATAACTTAATGATGGCAAAATGTCACGCTTGGATTTGTCCTTATTAAATTTATGACCTGTCAAAATACGTCTTGCAGTTAATGGAAAGAAATTTATTTTGCTTTTTTGCCTTTCTGGTAAATTAACTAAAAAATGAATACAAGAACTATACGGGTTAATAATTCGCATTCCGACTGCTAGCTTGTCTTGCGTGTCTATTATCCAATAGTGTTCGAGCTACCAGAAGAAGTTTCCATTGGGCGAGAGAAGATGATTTGAATTTGATGTTGGTAGAATTCATAAGTTCCACAGAACAGCTGCACATTTAGGTCACCGAGCTTAACCTA